TAATCTCCCTCTGATGTCGCTAGGATCCCACTCCAGGGCTTCCTGACAATCTTTGGGGCTCCCCTGGAGAGTTGGCATCTGTCTGTTTTGCCCGTGTTCTCTTCAGGGAGTCCCCAACCCACTCCTAGCGTGTCCAAGTGGGTGGGGGAACTATGTGGTACAGAGAGACGTCTCAATGTCAACAGTAAAAGGATTTATTTTGAAACCACTCAACTATTTACAGGCATATTAACAGTGAACTGAAGAATCAAAACTCCTAACCTCTGGCACTGGCACCAGCTGTGCCCCATCGAAGGTCGGGAGTGAGATCCCTATCCCCAGACTGCCCCAACTCAGGCACAGGACCTCTGTCTTTATCGGATTCAATTTCTGTCTAAGCCAACTAGCCATTCCTTAGCAAACACTCTAACTGGGTATATATGAAAGAAAGCAAGAAATCTCCTGATTCTCAACAGCATAAGGGGACTAGTGGTTTGTCTGAATGTTAGTAACACTCTCCAGCAAAGGGTAATATCAGGAAGTCGCACTGTCTGCTCAAGGTGGCTCTAAGCAAAGCAGCTGGCTTAGTGAGTGAGTAATCTCCCTACTATTCACCCAGCGACCTCGATTTAGGGAGTTTTGAGCAACTAACAGTGCTATTTGATTATTTTGCAAAATTAAGTTGCCTGTTGCCCTTATAGTTGGCTGCCCTGATTTATTAGTTTGAGATTTAAGAATAACTGTTGGCAATTTTCCTCTCCTCTGCACTTTTCTTGAGGAGGAGGTGGTAATCATGTTTGGTGCTTTCTGATTTACTGGTCTTGGCTTTCCAAGTTCACTTCTTAGCACATCTCTTAAAAGCATCCAACTTAGTTGACATTTTATCGAGTTGTTGAAAAATAGCCACCATGTTGTCTGCAGTAAGTAGACACTGATTCCCTACTATCTTTAACAGGTCATCTTTAAGTTATCCTCCCACACTTTCTTTTAAAGCATCCAAGTCTATGTTAGTAAAGGTAAAGGTTCCCTTGTTCGAAAGCCAGTCAAATCCGACTCTAGGGTTGCGGTGCTTATCTCCGTTTCAAAGCCGAAGAGCCAGCGCTGTCCGAAGACATTTCCGTGGTCATGTGGCTGGCATGACTAAACACCAAGGCGCATGGAACGCTGTTACCTTCCCACTGAAGTGGTACCTATTTATCTACTTGCAATTTCTTGCTTTCGAACTGCTAGGTTGGCAGGAGCTGGAACTAGAGACGGGAGCGCACTCCGTTATGCGGCACACTCGGGTCTTGAACTGGTGAACTACCGACCTTCCACAGCCGGCAGTTCAGCGTCTTAACCCCTTGAGCCACCGCAGTCTTTAAATTAGCTGCTGAGTGTCATGCAACTTTCTTCCTTTTTCTCCCCCGGCCGTGTCTGTACCAAAGGGGTGCAGGGAAAATGGCATTTGAATGCTTTTTTTCCTGCTATTTCTGAAGCCTTAAAATCTGTTAGTAGAGGAGGTAGGTAATTCACTCACAAGTTCTTCCCAAAATGAATCATCTATGCGCAGGTATTTTGCCGATTTAGGTGTGGATGATGATGATGAGTCAGAGCTCTTCCTCGATCATTTCCTATACTTCTTCATATTTGTTGCTTCCCTTTTCTTTCTTTCACCCATTCTGTCCCACAGCTGCTAATCAGTCTGTTTTGGCACTGACTTCAGCTGATTTATACGTAACAGATAAAATTAATTAGTGCCAGCTATTCCTCCTATCCTCAAGATGTTCCACACTGTCGTAGTTTTCCTTTTGTTATCTTTCTGGCAGCAAGCAGCAGTATGTCCAGAAGGAAACCTTTTGTATAATTAAAAGATAGAGCCTTGAGTGAGCTGCTGCTGCTCCATCAGCGTCTTGGATCTCCCAGTTTTTATGTTTCTCGCTCATTTTCAACTGTGATAGACTCCCGAAGAATATAATCCAACATAGGGATAAAGTGTAAAATGGTCCAAATTCCAGGGGAGGAAGCAGGTAGACTCAGAAGTTTTGTGTGTGTGTGTGTGTGTGTGTGTAGTGCCACCAAGTCCCAGCTGAACTTTAGCAACCCCATATGGTTTTCAAGGGAAAAGACAGAGGTGGTTTGCCGTGGTCTCCCATGCAAATACTTAGTTTCCAAGATCTGGCCAGCTAGCTAACAGCAAAGATGCTGCTTCAAAACAGTATTTTTTTGGTGATTTGATCCTGTGACTAACTGGTCCAGAGCACAATAATTTGTTCTGCCTTGACAATTGTTACAGCCAAAATTGAAGGTACTTGGGTCACCCACTGTAACAATTTCTACTGTAGATGCCTCCCTAATGTATTAATTAGATCAGGGAGAAAACATATGAACCATTCACCAGATTCTGCCTTGACTTGGAATTGCTATTCCTAGTCATTCTATGGATTTTTAAAAACCCAGACCCTCTCACAATCTGCTCTTGAAAGTGTCATTATTTTAAAAAAACCCTTACTATTAGACAGGGGAGGCTGCTGTTGAAGAAAGGAGCCCAAAGTCCCTTTGGGCATATAGCACTGTGTTTAGAGGTCTTAGGATCCCAGCCACAAGGTCATATGGACTGACTTCTGACAGTCTAAACTCATAGTAAATCTTCTGTAGTCTCAAGGCGGGGAGAAGATAATTTGTCCTTGAGAAACATCCAGTCTAGAATTATGTATATTTTAGCACTTTAGCAACTTTCCCCCGCAAACAAGTGACAATCTTTACATGTGAATTTTATACCTGGGAACCTGTTTTCCATATAAGAACACAAGAGAAGCTATGTTGGACAGGCCAATGGCCATCCAGTCCAACACTCTGTGTCACACAAAACCCACGTGCAATCAGGAGGTACACTAGTGGGGCCAGAACTCCAGAAGCCTTCCCACTGTTGCCCCCCCCAAAGCACCAAGAATACAGAGCAATCCTGCCCCCGACATAGTGTTCCACACACCTTGTGGGTAATAGCTACTGATAGACCTCTGCTCCATGTTAATCCAATCCTGTATGGAAGTAGTATGTGTTTTTCTTTTTCTTTTTAGATGATTAATTTGAAATAGAGACTCTTAAGTTGTTTCAGCTCCAGCTCCGTGAACTGTTTGAAGACCTTGGGGGTTTTTTTGTCTTTAAGAGCTCTACACCTGCAAATAATTAGCTACATCGCCTTGAGTGGCGGGCAGGTTGTTTAATATTGGATGCCTTTCTTTAGAGCTAGCTAACTCACTTTCCAGATCTTATGTGTCTGAGAGCATGAAACTTTGTGGATGCTGGTATGTTCGTTTACTCACTGTTACAGTACAGTGATTAGTTACTTTTAATCATCTTCAAAAAACCCTGCTGAGCTTTCTAAGAGCTGAAGTGTGGAGCAGCGTTGTTAATGGGTGTCTCCCTCCCTATCCCCAGAGCCGAACCGGAGACTGAAGAGGTGAGCTTTTAGTGCAGAGTGCTTTATGTCCTGATAAAGTAAAATAAGTTGCTCCTTGCCAACTTGAGGCCTTGAGCCCCAATAGACTTTGACAGAAGAACTGAGACTCTCCTCATGAAACTATCTATGCTTGTAGCCGCCACAACTTTTTGTGCCAGTGAATTCCATGTTTACTTCCCTTTATCTGTTCTAAGCTTCTCATTAATTTTGAGTGCCTACAAGTTCTTGTATTGTGACAAAAGGAGAAAAATACTTCTTGCTCTACCTTCTCTAGCCCATACATAATTTTGTAAACCTCTATCACAGTGGTGGCGAACCTATGGCACGGGCACCAGAGGTGGCACTCAGAGCCCTCTCTGTGGGCACGCGTGCCATCGCCCCAGCCAGGCCCAGATTATTATTAAAGTGTCGAATTCTCTGCCAAATAATTTTAAGTAAATGAAAGCATTTGGGATTGCTCTCCTTACTTTGTTTGGATCATCTTAAGTTAATGTATGAGTTGTTTTTTCTAAAGTAAAACCTCAGTATTCAGGTTAAATTGCCGTGTTGGCACTTTGCGATAAATAAGTGGGTTTTGGGTCGCAGTTTGGGCACTCAGTCTCTAAAAGGTTCGCCATCACTGATCTATCATGTCACCCCTCATCGTTTCTCCAAGCTAAAGACCTCTTTAACCTCTTTAATCTATCATCATAGGGAAGGGTGTTCCATCCCCTTGTTTTAGTTGCCCTTTTCCACACCTTTTCCAATACTATAGTATCTTTTTTGAGGTGCGGTGATTGAACTGTATGCAATATTCCAAATGAGGCCACACCATAGATTTATACAGGGACATTATGATATTGGCTCATTTGTTTTCAAACCCCTTCCAATATAATCCCCAGCACAGCATTTGCCTTTTTTTATTATAGTCACACGCTGAGTTGACATTTCCAGTGAGTTATCTACCAGGACTCCAAGATCTCTCTCCTGGTCAGTTACCACCAGTTTGAAACCTATCAACATATATTTATAGTTAGGATTTTTGCCGCCCATGTTGAACCACATTTGCTATGTTGATGCCCACTTGGCCAGCCTTGACAGATTCCTCCGGAGCACCTCACAGTCTTCTCTGGTTCTCACCACACTGAACAACTTAGTGTCATCTGCAAACTTAGCCTCTTCACTGCTTACTCCCAGATTATTAATGAACAAGTTTAAAAGCACTGGACCTCGTACGGAGCCCTGCAGTACCCCACTGCTTACCACCTTCCACTGTGAAAATTTATACTCACTGTTTCCTGTTAATTGTAATACAGAAGAAAGTCCAATTTAGCAGCTATACAGCAGATCTCATCAGCAAAAAAATCTAAAACCCCATTGATTATATGAACATAAGAAGTATTTTAAAATTATCAATGATTTAAGAACATCATTGTACTAAATACTATGTTATTTTTCTCAGAGGCAGAACATTTGGAATGGCTATAGCCTTTTCATTTTAACAAAGGAATGTGCCGTAATACTGAATTTAGTCATGATCAGCTTTCCAGTTAGTCTGTGGTTTCAATGTACAAATAAATACCAGACCATTGGAGGGTTTTTTGAACCTGTTTTATTCAGATATAAATTGAAAGCAGTTGATGAATGGAGCACAGCCCCAGTTCCTCTGCATCCCCCCCCCTCCAAAAACCTGTGATTGAGAGGAAAACCAGCAAGAGAAAGACAGCAAGTTAAAACATAATGACAGATAAGCATCATCGTTTAGACCTCTGCTTTCTGATAGCCAAAAAGGCAGCAAAACCTACGTGTAGGTCAATTACCCCTGTACGTAGTCTATTTATAGATGGTTACTACCACCTTTAGGCTGATAGTGCTGTTCATAAATGCAGGAAATAATGCTTTGTAAACATATTTGCCACTTGCAGCATCCACTGATGGAGCTAAACAATTCAACTTCAGTGAGGAAGCTAACACTTTGTGGAGTGGTGGGTCCTATCCAGCCATGCCCTGCATCACTTGCTAAACAGAGGAGGCCTGCTACTATTTTAGAGTACAACACCCAAGTTTCCATCTTAGGTTGGTGTTGGTTAAGTTAACCTTTTTAGGAAGCCAGAATTTACCAAGTGCTTCTTTTTTGAGAAGGCACAGGGGCAAATTTGCGGCCCTATGCTTAAACCTCATTAATAATCACAACATGAATCTGAAAAACAAGTGAAACATCACCACAAAACTAAAAAGTTAACTTTGTGTAGTATTCTGAGAGAGAATGTAAGGGGACCTGCCTGTGGCTCTGACCAAAGCAGGTGTTTAAAATCACTGTTTTGTCATGAAAGGAGAACTTGTTTTTTATTCACATACAGCCTTCCAGATTTCATGATTGGAATCTAAAACCAATAAAATGGAATCAAAGGAGGAAGCAGAGGTACTTTCAGTTCAAGTGATGCGATGGATGCTTCCACCATCACATTTTATTAAATAGCAGCCACCATATTTTTTAATATGGAATAGAAAAATACCCAACAAATACAGGCTATGTTTAACAAAGCCATGCCCCTTGCTAACGTGCCAGTTCATTCCCTTTGGAGTTGCTGTGAATGGCCTCCGATTCACTGAGCAGACACTTGCCCAAGCCTTCCCTGCTCCACAGACTGAATAGTTCTCAGTTTCGGAACACAAAAGTAGTAATATGTCTGCATGGAAGCTCTATATGTGAGATTAACTGAAGCATGAGCAGCAACATGTGGTATATTCCATCCTGTACGAAACACGCACAATTGATGAAGAACATCTTCTGTTGGACTAGGGAGACAGCAATCTGACAGTATCTGGCATTATTTTATGCTGGTTTCCACACCAAACTACAAAAAGACAGACCTAAACAGGGTAAAATTTCCCTAATAAGAGAGAGAACTTGCAAGAATCAAGCACCTAGAAGGGCTTTTAATATTATTCTTGCTGGGCCTTCAGGCCTGCTAGCATAAAAAAATCTTCAGCTCCTAGGAAACACCGCATCCATTTCCTGCAGGTACTCTTGCACTGAGAAAGCCTAACTAAAGCTATTAAGGCCTTAATGATGACCCGTTTCTTGATCCCACTGCAGAAAATTCACTCTGCTCCAAGGCTGCACAGAATGCTGGGGGTGGATGGGAGGCAGGGATGTCAACAAGCACCTATGAAAGCTGGTAGCCCTAGGCTCTCCAGGGAGCTCCCCTCCCCCCACAACACAAATTGGCAGAGTTAGCTTCTTATTATGGTTGGTATTTTTTAAAGAGATAGGATTTCAAAGTCTTCATCCTCTGAATCAAAGAATCTTTCCAGTCTGTCTGCATCAGATGAGTCTGCAAGGCAAGGAGAAAAAGCATCACCAGTTTGGCCCTAGGATTATATCAACAAGTATATATTCTTAAGAGATGTTAAAGTCAAAGAAATTCAGTGAACTGAGATTGTTTCAAGAGCAGACACAAAAAAGTAATGTTGCTTGAGAAGGAAGGGGAAAAACAATCAAGAATGTCAGACAGGCAACATATTTCAGATCTCATCCCTACAATCATTCACTATCTATAGGATACTGGAGAATGATGGTATATAAAAATGCTGCACTAAGCTAAAAAAGCTGTTACTCCTCTTACATATTTCTTAAAGTGTAAAATAAACCATACTGCACAAAGCTTTAGTTTTTCCTTTGATAAAGCATTTGGAAGGAAGTTAGACTTGATCATCACATGTGTTGCCTCCAGCAGTGATACAGGAGACTGTTTGCCCTCCTTCATTAATAGAATTAGAAGGCCAAAATAAATTTATTATATTGGTATGCATGGCCCAAATGGCACAGGAACAGATGTAAGTGTAGACAGTGAGACACATTCCACTGTTGCTTTCTTAGAGAAGCTTTTCTGATGTGTTTCTTCTAATCTAAAAGATACAATGAATTCAGGTGAAACAGGACTTAAAGGCTAGAGTTCTGTCAAAGGTGAACGAATGGTCCTAAGAAATGTTTTGAAAAGGTGTCCCAGAAATTGTTGCCAAACACTAAGAATGGGCTCTTAAGCAAAACATGTCATGATTCTAGGATCAACATTTTAGAAAAAGATTTTAAGGAAATTGGTTGACAATGGGTAAAAAGTTATGAAAACTAAACTACACATGTGATTGTCATATTTCTCAATTTGGATTCAATGTTGAACTCAAAATTCACTCAGATTTTAAATTCCAAATTTGAAAGTGACATTAGGCACCAGATTCCACAGGTCTAATCCCCTAACAGTGATGCAAGAAGCCTCCTGCTTGTGTAAGAGGTTCTGCTGTTGGTGAAAGAGCCTTCTGCAGCAGGGGAATGCTCTTTGCACCAAGGGAAAGCATCGCAGCCAGTGTTATTGACCCGTGGGATTCAGCCCTAAATTGTTTTCATTAGTTATTTGTTCAAGGGGAAGTTTACTGGATTAGTAGGGTTTAGTTAGTATAAAAGTAGACTCAGTGGACTTTTAAATATCTACTACCTCTGCAAGGTAACATCTAGAATCAATATTTTTTATTTATTCTTAGTGTAAGAAGAAACTAAAGCTACTAAAACAATCATCCAGTTGAACTAACATGAAAGCCAAAGCCATCAAAATGATACTTAGCTCTTTTAAAATCCCTATAAAGCAAGTTTTACCTGGAGTGAGATTCAAAACATCAGGGCTAGAGAAGTGTGAAGGTTGATGTTCCACCAGTTCAAACATTGGCAGAGCTCCTCTGATCAGTGACAACTGTTGGAAGTAAAGAGAATGTTTACTAACCATTTCTTAATCAAAGAATATCATCTGATAACATCAGTTGCTTCTGAGCAAGACCATCACTATTAAGGCCACAACTTCACTTATCAGAACAGATCATTTCAGGGCCAAACAAGGCAGGATCTTCACTTCTATTTTAGACTTTAGATCAAGAAAATGCAGAGGTCATTTCGGGGGGGAACGCGGGGGAACACAGTTCCCCCGGGTGAGGTGCAGGGGGCGGGGCACATGATGAAGCCCCACCCCCTGCTTCCGGCCGCCTCGCTTCCGGCCCTCATTCAGCCAGGAGGAGGCAGGAGAAGAGGGAGGGTAAGTTGCTTCCTCCCCACCTCTCCCCACCCCTGCCTGCCTGGAGCCAGGGAGGGCCTTGGCGGGGCTTCCTCGCACTCCCGCTGGCCTTGCAGGTCCACCGCAAGGCCCCTGATGTCAGGGGGTGTGGCATATGCTAATGAGTTATGCTAATAAGTTCCCCAAGCTCTTTTTCTACGAAATGACCCCTGAGAAAATGTGATGGGGAAAAGTTAACACACACACACACCCCGCTGTCTCAGTTCAATTAATGGGCCTCCATGGCTACATTAAAAGAAATCTGATTGCAGTTTGGCCCTTAAAACAAAGAAAACTTGTAAATTTTCAAATGAAAATAGAGAAATTTTGAATCAAAGCATTTCAATTCAAGAGGTCTCACAAGCCATCAAGAAACTAAAAAAGGATAAGGCACCAAGACCAGATGGACTTACTCCAATTTACTACAAAACATTTGAAGAGAAGATAATTTTACCTTTACAAAAAGTTATGAATTATATAGGCAAAAAGAATATGGTGCCACCATCCTGGCAAGAAGCTCATATAACATTAGTACATAAAGAGAATAATGACCCAATGCTGCCACAGTCATATAGACCTATTTCATTGTTATTGTTGAATGTGTACTACAAAATTTTTGCCTCAATCATGGCTGATAGATCTAAGAAATGTATCCTGGTCAGACTCGTTTTGTACCAAAAAGACAATGTTCGTTTTGTTATTGATGCAATAGAACACGTTAAACACAAGGGTGAAAAAGCAGCCTTTTATGTTCTTAGACACCGAAAAAGCCTTTGATAATATATCCTGGACTTTTCTACAGAAAACATTGCAAAATTTCAAGTGTGGTTCCAGAGTTTTGAAGTGGCTACAGAACATCTACACCAAACAACATGCAAAAATTTTAATCAACAGGGTCTTGACAAAGGAACCTGTCAAGGATGTCCACGCTCTTCATTCTTGTGATGGAAATCTTTGCTTTCAAGATAAAACAAGATCTCAAATTAAAGGATTAAAAGTAGTAGAAGAGCAGTTTAAACTAAAGAGTTATGCACATGACGTGGTCCTTACAATTTTGAACCCCCAACAATCTCTCCAACATGTAATGGAGCAAACTGACAAGTTTGGATCCTTTTCAGGTTATAAATCAACAGGAAGAAAACCAAGATTATTTTTAAATTCTCAACTACTCAAGAAGAAGAAGAGATTAAGAAAATTTCAGGATGTGATGTAACAAGCAATCCAGTCAAATATCTAGGAATATATCTCATGGGACAGAACGATACACTATTAAAGGACAATTATATGACAACCTGGTCCAAAATACAAAAAGATCTTGAAAGATGGTTCAAATTACACCTGTCCTGGCTAGGAAGAATTTCTGCTTTAAAAATGAATGTACTACCAAAATTAAACGTTTTGTTACAGATGATTCCAATTTCAGTTCCTGAAAAGACTTTGAGTGACTGGCATAGACAAATAAATAAGTTTGTATGGAAACATAAGAAGCCAAGAATAATAAAGTATTGCAAGACGAGAAGGAAAGAGGTGGTCTAGCAATACCTAACATTAAATTATATTACCAAGCCGCTGGGCTAGTTTGGATATCAGATTGGATCAGAAGTCCCAGTGAAAGATTGATAAAATTAGAATCTTCAAATCTTGATGATGGACTACATAGCTACCTGTGGATTAAAAAATCTATGTCCAAAACCAAAACCCAAGATAAAAGATATATAATCAGAGACAGTTTATTTAAAATTTGGAAAATGCTACAAAACAGAATCAGCCCCACAATTCCACTAATAATGTCACCAATAGACACTTATTACGGTAATCACACAAGGAGAAACAATGATTTTATAACTCATGGTGATATGATAGACTTGCAAGGTAGCATCAAGAAGTGGCAAGAGAAAGGAGATACAGTGGTGGATATACTTTCAAATTGCTTCTAGATTAAAAATGATATCTGCACAAAGAGAGGAGTTATTAATGAACTGACTGATTTTGAAAAGTTGCCTCATAATCTAAAGACCATTTATTAGGGCAAATTTACAAGTTATTGCTTCAATATGATCCTGAAGAACAAGTCAAATCTTGCATGATTAAATGGATGCAAAATTTCAGTGAGGAAATACAGTTTCAATGTTGGGAAAATCTATGGACTAAAGGTATTAGATTCACTGCTAGTCAAGCATTAAAGAGAAAACTGGTACAAGATGTTTTACCGATGGTACGTCACTCCAAAAGATATTGCAAAGATGGATAAGAATTACAAAGGGGTCTTCTGGAAATGTAAAAAAGAAGATGGCACCTTTTGTCATATGTGTTGGACCTGCATCAAGACAAAAAGATACTGGAAAAATATACATGAAGAAATTCAAAATATTCTAAAAACCAAATTCCTGATGAAACCAGAGAGTATGTTACTGGGAATCTTACCAGACAACATAGACAGAACCTCACAAGACCTACTTAGCTATATGTTGACAGCAACCAGAGTAATATCTGCAATGAAATGGAAGACAGAAGACTATCCTACAACAGACATCTGGAAAGAAAAACTAGCTAAGTATGCAACATTGGCAAAACTAACCAATCATATAAACAAAAGACCACTGAAAGATTTTCTACAGAAAAGGCAAGCTTATTACTCATACTATGGAAATAATTAATTTTCTTTTTTTAAAGTTCTGGAATAATCTGAATATCATGTAAAAGGTGATGAAGGTATTGATTATAGTTCTAGTACTTGATTCTGTATTCCACTAGTAATTAAATAATTAGCAAGAATAAAATTTAGATTTATATAAACAATTAAGGCAATATTAAGGATTTTACAGTGATTCAATTTTAGCATAGAAGTTCATTCCATTGTTAAAGATGTGATTTCTTTTATCATTAGAGATAATGATAGAGAACTGAATTATGACTGAGACAGCTGTAGAAAAGTGCTCTGATGGTTCTCTAAACTCAGTATCTTCCCCTCTGCTACACATCTGCTTCAATGCAACTCAGAATAGTTTGGGTGACAAAAGTTCCCTTATTTCATTTCCTTGCTTTGCAGTCTTAGATTTCAAGGCAAAACTTAAAGCATGGTTCTCCCATAGCTTCATACACCTTCACTTTAAATCCAGAAAACATTTCCAAGTAGTCCCGAGCACAGCCGGCTCACAACCCCAACAGCTGCTGCTTTCTTCCCTGCTCCACCAGTGGGATCTATCAATACTGATTTTTTTTTTTGATTTTTTTTTTTTACATTTGTGTGTGTGTAAGTGCTCGTGCCTGGAAGTCATGGCAACCTCTGGCAACTCCTATTGGGGCACAGAGGACGTTCAGAGAAGTGGCTTGAGTAGCCTGCCTCTGCCTCCTGGCTCTGGTATTCTTTGGAGGTCTCCCATCCAAATTTGCCAGGGTCAGCCCTGCTTAGCTTCCAAGATCTGACCAGATCAGGCTTGCCTGGCCTATCCAGGTCTGGGCAATGCTGGATTCATTTTTGTACATGCTAAGACACCTAGATGTGTCTTTTTACAACAGACTTGCTGTTTACAGACCTTCTTGATTTGTTGGCACCAAGCATTAAAGTCTTCCTCTGTGTTGCAGAAGAAGCCCTGTAATAAGGAAAGAGAAACCTTTTATTGCCGTAACACACAAACACAAAGTGAACACAATTGTTTAAATGGAAATGCAAGACGATGTGCAACATTTCACTGGAAATCCTCTGTGTGCCCCCCCCCCCCTAACTATGAGATATGAACAGGATTATGAGAGTATGGGAAATTGCTCTCTGAACTGACATCAGAACATATAAGGACTGGCAAATTTATGGGAACGCAGGCTTTGTTTATAATGTCTTGGAATGATATTAATATGGAAATCAGAGAGGTTCAAGTTTCAAATAGAAAGTGAGTATTTCTTAAACGTGCTTTATTGATACTATAAAATATTTGTACTGGAAACTCTTATCATGCATCTTTTTATTTATTTATTTAAACATTTATATCCCATTTTTCCTTGTGGTTCAAGGCAGCCCTTGACTTCACCATGTTCTTGAGGCTTTCCCACCCAGTCAGCATTGACCTGTAATCCTCAAGTTAGGAATCCAAATACCAGTGATTAGGTCTTTTCCAAAACCATGATCGAACTTTGAGAGGGCAAATTGTAAAGGTTTCAGTGAAAATCTGGATAGGTGTCTTGGATGGTCCCTCCAACACACAACAACTACTGCCGATTTGTTGGAGCTGTTACATCAACAACGAAAAAGGCACATTGCTCGAGGATATTGGAAAGAATATATTCCAGGCTGGAGCGATCAGAGTGAGAGGCTGAATCAAAATTTCCTTGACAGCAAAGTTCCAGAAGTGGCAGATGAACTACTCCATGAACTCGATGCTGTACACAAACAAAAATGAACCAAATCAACTGCAAATTTGGATTTCAAGCATTCCAGTAGGAAAGCCTGGAACCTGTTGAAAACAGTATGTGCAAGCCCACCTGTGCTCCAAGGAAATCCTGCGGTAACATCAAACCAATTAGCTGCCCAACTGGTATCCCTTTCCAGAACTCCGAAGGATCAAGATTTTACAATCAGGATAAAAAAAGAACTCCAGATTTTGAAACTGAAGCTGTCAGAGGATTTCAGTGCGGATGAGATTTCCAAGGCACTGAAGGACATCAAGATTGGAAAGGAATCAGGCTTTGATTGCATCCATAATGAGTTCCTGATCAACAGCAGCACATTCACTAAGAAGTGACTCGCAAAGTTTCTCACTGACATTATGAGAACAAGAAGACTCCCAGGGGAATTCAAGAAAGTAAAGACAGTTGCTATTCTGAAACCTGGAAAACCAAATCATCTGGCAGCAAGTTACAGACCTATTTCCCTTCTGAGCTCCCATTACAAACTCCTCAAGAGGCTAATCCGGAACAGAATCAGTGACAGAATTATTGAATATGTCCCTATAAACCAAGCAGGATTGAGACCTTGTCATAGTTGTGAAGACCAGGTTCTCAGCTTAACAACTTTCATTGAGGCAGGGTATCAGAAGTGTATCAGACATGAGCAGTTTTCATCAACCTGATTGCCACTTGTGACACAGTACGGAGGGATGGTCTGTTGTACAAGTTTTTACAAGTTTTCCCCTGCAGAACATTACTTTGACTCTTAAATAACATGCTGAGCAATAGAACTTTCCAAGTAATTATAGTTCAGTCAATCAGCAAGCAGAATAACTGAGTAACAGTTTACCCCAGGGCTCGGTCCTTGCTCCAGTTCTTTTCAATCTATAAATCTCTGACATTCCCAAGATGATATCCAGGGAGTTTGCTTATGGCAATGACATGGTGATTGCAGTAAGGCACAAATCAATTGAAAGGACTGAGTAAGTACTGACTAGGGACCTCAAAATTTTGGCTGGCTACTACCGTAAATGGTGGCTCATTCCAAGTCCAGGAAAAACAGAATGCTCCCATTTCCATCTCAATGACAATCTTGCCAACTGTGAACTGAATCTCTACCTTAATGGCACCCAACTTACACACAACCATACACTTAAATACCTTGCATTACCCTGGCCAGGACCTTGAGCTATAAACGCTATCTTACCAATGTAGCAGTGAAAATACGCAAGCAAAACAACATTCTCCAAACATTATGTGGTACAACTTGGAGTGTGTCTGCTATAACACTTAGATGCTCAGTTTTGGGGTTGGTGTATAGTACTGCAGAATATGGCGCTTCAGTATTGCTCAACAGCCCCCATGTCCACAACTTTGATGTCCAACTAAATACAATAATGAGAACCTTCAGCAAATTTATTAAACCCACTCTGACCTATTGGCTACCTATATTGTACCACATTGCTCCTCCACATCTCTGAAGACAAGACACTCTTCTTTGTGAATACAGAAAGATCACTGAAAAAAGAATAGCCCATTCACAAAGATATGGCTGACACGGGTCAATCCAGACTAAGTTCCTGACACCCAGCAATAAGATCTGCGCAAATCCTGCAATCACAAAATTTTGATCTAGGGAACATGGATGCAATCCGTTCCACCCAATAATCATAACCTGATGAACACCAACAAGTGGCCCGCAGGATTTGACTTGCCACATAAAGTATGGAAGACGGCTAATAGAAGACGGCTTTGGCAGATGTGCAGACCTGTTGTTTAAATGGGGCAAGATAGCAGGACCCAAATATGACTGTGGTGCAGCCGGCCAAACTATTTTTCATCTGTCACAGGAATGTGAACATCGTGCTCTCTAGGGAGATGTGATGGAGCTCTTTGAACTTTCCCCAGCTGCAACTGAATGGATTGAAATTTTAGATATTCTTATTTAGAGGGATTGTTCAATCTGTTTGTATACCTGTTGTATCAACTTGATTACATATTTTATATTATTATATGCTTCCTGTGTGTAATTCTGCTGTACAATGAATAAATAACTCCTCCTCCCTTCGGTATTTTTGTTATACTACCTATTTGCCAAATGTAATAGCGAGTTTGCAGAAATGGCAAAAATATGCAGTAATGAGTATGCAGGAAGGATGAAATTAATAATTTCAGTTGAAAAACAGATAAGTTACAAAATTTGATATAAATGTATCCCAACAGAAGTAATTTTTATAGTATTATAGTATTTTATAAACAGTGTCGCAAAAACCTTTCAATGGCCCCGGTCACATAGGCCAGATAATGCGGGGGGGGGGGGGGGAGGGCAATTTTGCCCCGGAGGAAAATAATGCGTGGCAGCCCGATCAGAAGTCCTTTCGAGGTCCCGTGGGTAGGCGTCAGGTGCAGATCAGACGGCTAAGTCTGCAGCTCGGCAAAGAAGCAGCATGGCGCATTCAAACTGACACTCGCGTCGCACTGCTCCTGTGGCAAATGCCGCTTCCGGTTTGTGCACATGTGCCATTGGGCGCTTTTCCGCATCCTGCGGAGACTTGGGGGAAAAAATCCCCTTGGTTGCGACGGAACATCGGCAGCCGCCGGATGCCACGACAGTCCACCGGAAACGGGGGCAGACGCCCACCCTTGCCCCACGGTTTCCGGAAACTAGTACCTCGTAGGTACTAGTTTTTAACTCTGCACCTTCAGCGGGGAGCCACGGGTTCGCCACGGGAGCACTGCGCTTCCCAGATGTTGGGGTGTGATCGCGCCCAGAAAATCCGCGGGACTCCCGTGCCTCTCCCGCGGCAACTTTGCCGTGTGACCGGGGCCAAAGCAATGAAGAGGGTATAGAGGAGAAATATTTTCTATTTCATATATCTTGTTATATATCTTTTGAGATATATATAGATAGATATTTACAATATGTAATCATTTTTTAATTTACTGTATTTTCTTATTATTCTGTTTCCCAAAAAAACAAAACCAAAAAAAGCTAAAAATGCCCCCAGCTAAAACCAAAAATAAAATGTCAAACCAGAAAATCCCCCCCCCCCCCAAAAAAAGATGCCTGCCATTCAAGCCTCCTCAAAAGCCCTGGCAAACAGGCAGGCGTAGTGCAAAGATTGGCCCGGGGTGGTGGTGGGGGAGAACACCACTGCTGTAGTATCCTTGTAGGGAAGAGGAACCAGTTGGAAGTAAATGAAGAGTTGAATGATAGTTCCAGATAAGCGCTCTTGGGCAACAGCAGAGCAATGTTCCCTCTAAGCTGTGGAGTCTTGTGAGCAAAACTTCTACTCTGTGAGCGACTGGCATTAAAGTTGTGAGCGAGAGATTTGGCTCCTGTATAACTTAGTTTGCTCTGGAGCCGTCCTTCCAGAGCGAAGACAAAAATGTGTGAGCTAGAGGCTAAAAGACTGCGAGCTAGCTCACACTAACTCATCTTAGAGGGAACACTGCAGCAGAGACCCACTCACCACTGCAATAGAAGGATCGAGCTCTGCAATGCTCATTCTGCAGGGTGGATGTTGGCAGTGGAAACTCTCATCAGCGATGTGGCAACTGTCAGTTGGCTCCACCGCAGGCTGAGTAGTGTGTGGGTCAAGGTAGATTAGCTCTTCACCTAGACAAAATAGCCAATGGTAAGTTATAACAGGAAACACAACATTAAACTGGATATGGAAGATAGCAGATATTTTTAAAATAGTGAGTTATGCTGTAAAATGTGGAATACAATATAATGCTATTCCCTCAGTAGGGATACAATGGAATTCCCACCCTTTGACACTGATGCACTCAACTGACACACTCACCTAAATATCCAATGAAATAATGAGCACTGTTAGGTTTTCCTCCAATCACTCCTAGGGACTGAGGCATCATAAAACAGTGCTGGAAAACATAGGTTATACAACGAATTGTATAGCAGTCAGCAGAAATGAACACCCATCTAAGCAATGAGCAATACATGAACAGAAACATGTATACGCACACTAGCCATTCAGCAACAGGCAATAAAACAGCTAATTTCAATACAAAAAACTTTCACAAGGGACAGCCACTGCAGTAAAGTTTTGAGAAAGAGCAGGGTAGAAAGCACTCTGAGAACGCTGGAGAAAGGCAACTTTAATGCTTTAAAATGTAAATGCTTGCAGTGCGTGGCACAGTGAGGTTTCCTGCCTCCACATCTGAAGGATGCCGGTACAAGATGCTCTTTTACAAGAGAGCATCAGGAGGAAGTGATGGAAGTGCCAGGACCCCAACAGGCAGCACTGTTTAGGCACCTATACAGTGCTGCAGGAGTTGACCCCCGTGTCTCAATTACAGCTTCCAGACAACGTCCAAGAACGGCAGCACATCCCTCTCCCCCTGCAGTGGCATTCAGTGTTGGGAGTAGGAATGAAAAGCACTGCTGAACATATATTTAATTATTTTTATTAACAAGGAGTTGTCCTTGATATGTCAAATGCTGTTTTGAACTGCCATAAATTTTGACCTGTTCAGCCAATGTGGTATAGTGGTTAGAATGCTGGACTAGACTCTGGGAGAACCTAGTTCAAATCCCCCACTCTGCCACAGAAGCTTGGTGGGTGATCTTGGGGTAGTCACACCCACTTAGCTTAACCTACCTCACAGGTTTATTCAGAGCACAAAATGCATGAGAGAAGACCACATTTTGGGTCACCACTGGGGAGAAAGGCAAGGCATAAATGAAGTAAATCAATGCATTTCAGAAACATTCCACCAGCTAGTGGACCATGAACTAGACCACTAAAAACAAAATTAATGGCAGTGAAGCAAGTATAAGCCATGTATGAATAAATGACATAATAAAGGCTTACAAGATAACGTCAGCTGCCAAGGCAGCTAGATCATTTTAATAGAAACAAACCTCCTACCTTCAGGGTTTCAATGTAGGCTTCATTAATGTCTGTGAGCCCAAGACGAAGAGGTATCAGCAGTACTAAAGGTTTCCAGAGCAATAGCCTGTCTGTGCACTCTGCTCCATCTGGATACCCATTGGACAGCAAATCCGACTCTGCAGTGGGAAATGCCGAAGCCCCAGGACATGGATAGTTGAACCAGCACAACCTCCCTACCAAGACATCAGCAGAAACCATCTGAGCAAAACTTTTCAAGCAGTTGTAGACTTGAATAACCATCCAGAGAGTTCAAACAAAATGGCTCTTGTAGTTCCCAGCATGACCCATTGTATACATTCCCTTATATGGCCACGGTTTTTAGTAAACTTCAGAGGGTTTTTAAAGAAAACTCTACAACCAAAATATTGAAGCATGTACGTGATATCACCCTTTGGATATCTTAGATTTTGTTTTATAGATGTTTTCAAAATAATCTATCAATACTGATATAAATTCTACTCTTGGGACAAGGATGGCAACTTTTTCCATTCTACTGAAACCCCTTAATTGGATCACTAGTTAGGTCACATGACAAATCAGTCATCTGAAATCGTTACTGCATAGTGGCTCCTTCGTGTGCATATATTTCTTGTTCTTTTCCCCCCACGAGAATGAAACATTGGAACCCACCTGAATGTTTCTTCTCTTCAGTGGGGTTAAGTCATCCAGATTGGTTAGGTCATGCCTCCTCTAGCTCCAGGCAGGGTTATGCAAAGTCTCTACTGGATTGGATCAAGGCTGACCCTCCAGTCTTATAATAGCCCAGCTCCATGTCTATCCTCCTCCCTTCAGTCCTTATTTTGTTTTTGTGTGGGAAGTGGACCACTTTGCCCCACTGAAGAGAAGAAACTTCCAATGTTTCATTCTCCTTCAGTGGGAGAAGTCATCCAGACTGGTTATGTGCCCAAGATGCATCCCTGGTTGGGATTACCCTTTATTGTTCCAGAACCTGTTCCAATGCAGTCCTCCACAGAGTCCGTCTGGTCTATCCTGTAATGCTTCACAAAGGTTGAAAAAGTAGACCGTGTGGCCGCTCTAAAAATTTCCTCCACTGGAGCCTTCATAGAGAATGCTGCTGAAGCTGCTGCTGCTGCTCAGGTAGAATGAACTGTAATGTTCTTGGGTGTCACTAGGTTCTGAGTCTCATACGCCTTCCAAATACACATCTTAACCCAGAAGGCAATTGATGATTTTGATAGTCTCTTTCCTGGCGATGGGTTGCTGTGTGATATAAACAGAGCATCTGTGAGTTTGAGACTTGCCGCTTTCTATGAACTGATAAGGCTGCCAACTCGGAAACTCTTCTTGCCAAAGGGACTGCGCCACTAAGAAAGCCACTTCCCAGGATACCTATCTCAGTTCAGCAGTTTTCTGTGGCTCAAATGGAACTTTTGCCATCACTTGCAATGCCTTAGAAAGGCTCCACACTGGGAATCTGTGTTTAATCAGTGGAGCCAGTTGTGTTGTTCCCCCAAGAAATCGCTTTACATGTGTGTTAGAAAAGTTCTGTATCCTCTTGTGTCCCAGAACCGCAGCCAGAGCTGCCACCTGCCATTTTATAGGATTTGGCTTCAGACCTTGTTTCCCCCCATCATGAAGAAAGAGAACAATGTCCCTGTAAAATGGATTTAGTGGATCTATTTGTTTGTCTGCAGCCCATTTCCTGAATGTCTTCCATGTATGATTATAAGTGCATCAGGGGGCCAGTCTTCTGGATTATATAATGATATTTACAATTTCTGTGGGAAATCCAGCCTTTTCTAGATCCACCCACTCAGTCTCCAGGCTGTCAGCTGAACCTGAACAGTCGGAAGTCTCCATGGCAGAGACCCTTACATCCTCTTGAGCCCCGAAAAACAAGGTTTGTCTTCGCCTGAAGGGAGCAATAAAAATCACTTCTGTGCTATCTCTCTCCCTCTCCTTATTCTGCTGATGACCTTGCTGATCAGGGGAGTTGGTGGAAATGCATACAGGAGACCATGGGTGAACAAAGACATCCTCGCTCTCTGCCCCGGGATTGTGAAATCTTATTAGAAACCTGGGAACTTGGTTGTTGTGAGGAGATACCAATAAATCCATGATTGGGGTCCCAAATCATATCATTACCTGCTGGAAAATGTTTCAATTTAGGCTCCATTCCTCTGGGTCGAGATCCTTTCTGCTTAACCAGTCTGCCTCTCGATTGGCTATACCTCTCAAGTGTTCCACTCTTACTTCTGTTAGGTGTTTCTCTGCCCATTGAAACAGAAGTTTGGTCTCCTTGAACAGAGATTTTGACCTTGTGTCCCCTTTGCGATTGACATGTGTCTTCATAGTTGTGTTGTTGGTGCATATTAGTATCTTTTTTCCTTCTAGATCTTGGAAGGACATTAAAGCTAGCCTGACTGCACACAGTTCCAGCCAGTTTATACTGTGGGCCATCTCTGCTGGGCTCCACCTGCCCTGAACGACCTTGCCTTTGACAGTGTCCCCCCCCCCCCAACCTCTTATGCTGGCATCAGTTATCACAAGAAGGTGAGATGACTGAAGAAAACTTACTCCCTTGACGAAATTCAATGGGAATGTCCACCAACTTAGGGACTTCTTTAACGAGATGTCTATTTTCACTTGTTTGTGTTTTTATATCCTTATCTCCCTCTGATAAGGAAGCAGAGTCCACTGTAAAGGTCTGTTATGGAATTGGGCCCAACAAACTACATCTATTGTGGAGATCATGAGCCCTAGGACTGACAATAAATGCATTAGATCTCCCGACCTCTGCTTACAAATGTCTTTTGCTACCTCTATAATCTTTTTCTGCTTCTCTTCCGGCAGGAACACCTTCCCTTGACTCGTTTCTATCCTTGCTCTCAAATGAATCAGGTTTCTGGAAGGGATGAGGTGACTTTTCTGTAAATTACCAGGAACCCATGCGACTGAAGCACTTTGATCGTGTAATTGCTGTCCCTGGTATCAATATATCATTGAGATATGAGTAAAGATGAATCCCTTGTTGACATAAACTTGCTACTAGGACAACCAAGAATACTATGAGTGATGATGAATGGGAGGACTTTGTACTGGAAGTGCTGACCTTGGAAAGCGAAGCTGAGAAACTGCTTGGATGACTGCTGTATGGGAACATGTAAGTATGCCTCTCTGAGATCCAGACACATGAGAAAGTCATTCTGTTGAATTATGTGTAAGATGCACAGATTCAATATGGAATTTGTGCTTGTGTACCCATAGATTTACACATTTCAGGTTCAGAATTACACTTCTCAGGTTCAGAATTGCTCTCCGCTCCCCAGATCTCTTTGGGACCAGAAACAGGACTGAACAAACCACTCTGAATCATTGATTTGTAGGGACTTGCTCAATAGCTCCAATCTGTTGGAGGTGGTATATAGCTTGCAACAACAGATGGCACGGCTGTTCCATCTTGGGAACTGGGGACAGAGTGAAATGGTGAGGAGGAGGGGAGGTAAATTCTATCCTGTACCCATTCCTGATTATAGATAGAGCCCATTGGTCGGTAGTTGATTTCTCCCAGGTCTGAGCAAAGTCCTGGAGCCAATCTCTTATCAGACAGTCATGCTGTGAGTTTTTTTATTTGTCTGGTTCCGTCCTGTCTGTTTGTAGAGTAGGGTCTCTGCTGGAATCTAGACCAATGACCTGAATAACAGGAGCCTCAGAAATCTTTGTTGTCCCTTCCTTGCATGGGCACCTCTGTGAAAGGAATGAAAGGGTATTGCTTCCTTCTCCTTATTGGCCAAGGTCGATGGCATGGCCGTCTTCACTTTGGTCTCCATCAGCACCTAGTCTGGTGCTCCCTCTACAAAGAGAAGTCTGCCTGAAAACATTTTCACCAACAGATTGGACTTGGACAAGGTATCCACTTTCCAGTGTTTTAGCCAAAGATTTCTTCCTGTTTGCTTCCTGTGCTGTGGCACAAAACTGCATTGCATCCTGTGACGCATGAGAGGCATATTCTGCTGCCCTTTTAATTTTAAGTAGGGACCTCATAAGGGTGGTCAGATCCATAATTAAATCCTGCAAAAGATTGTCGGCCCAACCCACAATGGCTCTTGAAAAACTTGGTAATACTGATGAAGCCAGTTTGGTGTAGTGGTTAAGTGCGGTGGATTCTAATCTGGAAAACCAGGTTTGATTCTGCATTCCTCCACATGCAGCCAGCTGGGTGACCTTGAGTCAGTCACAGTTCTCTCAGAGCAGTTCTCTCAGAGCTCTCTCAGCCCCACCTACCTCACAGGGTGTCTGTTGTGGTATAAATCCAACTCTTCTTCTTCTCCTCTATGGCCAGTCTTGTCGCTGCTTCCAAGTGTAGGCCAGGTTTCTGCAGTGTCTGGAGACAGAGAACCCTTATCATCCGAGGCCTCCAAAGGCTGGACTGAGGTGTACTTTGTTCTGGTGGTCCCTCTCAATCACTTTCCTGGTGGTGGGGATCTTGAGGAGAATCTGGGTGGTGAATAGGAATGGGCACTGTGGTGGAATGGGCCTGCTCCGGCCTGCAAGCCCTGTTCCACCCTGCCCGCCAAGGTTTTCCAAGGTTTTCCCAACACTTAGAAAGGCTTTTCTTTCTCTCTTGGAAAACCAGTGCCACCACCTGACCTTTGTAAGGAACTGCCCGCTGGGGGGGGTCAGGACTCCCAGCTTCCCTTCCAAGTTCTGAGGCTTTGCCTCTGTGTCTCCCGCTGCCCAGCGCCTGGTTACCATGGGAACCATTTACTGCCCTGTGTGCCCCTGGAGGAATAGCCACTCGCCAACTGCCAGCCTTTCCCTGGCACTCCTTTTAAAATAGTGTGTCCAAGACAATGGAGGTCTATGTGGTAGAGAGAACCACTATCAGCATCAAAAGTTATGAAGTATTTATTTTAAAAATGTCCACAAGCATACTTTTAGCACAGCCCCAGATTGAGCAAGGGATTCAAAAGAAATGGGTAAAATGCAATTCTTCTGTCCCTCTCTCTGTACATGCCCTATCAGATGTTAAAATACAGGACAACCTCCTTATCTTAGGAGTTCCATTACTTTGCAGTTTCCTCCAGACCAGCAAATGGTTAATGGCTACCTCCTCCAGACCTCAGTTAAGACTTCTGTCTGCTCTGATGGTCTCAGCACCAAAAAGACCTTCCTCCTTGCTCCCCTGAGTTTTATTATGTCTCTTTTCCTCACCTACTGATCAGGTCAGGCCAGGTCAAAGAGCCTTTTCCTGGCGATCTCCAGTTCCTTCCTTCCTTCCTTCCTTCCTTCCTTCCTTCCTTCCTTCCTTCCTTCCTTCCTTCCTTCTAGTATTTAATTCCTCCAAATCTCTGTTGGCTGCTTGGGGTGGGTGGGGGCTTGACCATCCCATTGTCTGGCTCTATTGGCATTTGTATGAAGGTTGGCTGAGGTAAGTCTGGAAAGCAATTGAACTGAATTCCTTCCTTCCTGCCTGTTCTCTGCCCTGAGAGGGGGAAAAAACTTTTAAAACTCAGAGTGAAGGTTTTGCTCAATTCAAACTTCTGAAGAAAAAATGCATTTCTTCACAGGCACCTCTCCTGAAATGAGTTCTTTTGTGCTCTCTATCTTTTCTGACTCCTGATGAAGTGTGGCTGGGGTTCACCATGGGCCAGGTTGGGGGCCTGATTGACTCCCTTACTGAAGTAAAAAGGGATGTGAAAAGGGCCAGGAATTCCTATAGGCTTGTAACATCCAGTCTGGTGGAGGGTTGAAAAGCATGGGAAAAATTGGGGCCTGCTTGATTCCCACCTAAAGGAACATAGAGAGCTGATGAAGAAGGACTGGCCCCCTCTGTGCTTTCCCCTGATCTGCAACTCAAAAACTGGCCACCATTCAGATTGCAGAGGGAGGTTCTCTCACCTTCAGAGAGGGAGGGAGCCACCTGGTAACAACTTCACCAGGCTGGCTGGAGCCTGCAAGCTTCTTCCCAGAGTATCAAGTACTGGGCATGAATAGGCTGTTAGACCCGATACAATCCAGTAGAGACTTGCTAAAATTTCCATAGCCCTGCCTGGAGCTAGAGAAGATGTGACCTAACCAATCTGGATGACTTCCCCCATGGAAGGAGTACATTCTGTTTTGATATCATACCACCAGCATATTAAAATAATGCAGACTAAAAATGCAAAATCGATCAACCCAGTTGTTTCAAATTTGGGTGCATACACTCAAGGCAACAGAGAAAAATCCCAGCTGAACAAAGAAAGACAGGCCACAAATCATCATGGGTCAGCAGATGCTGTGGGTGTACCGAAAATGTTTTGAAGTGCACGCCTACATGCATAGGTCATATACTAGTGGAGACTTCGATTAAACAAGTCAAAGGGTTGGACCCTGAGATCCATCAGTGGAAGGTGCCGATTGCTGATTTTCTTGTGAATCATCAGTGGAATGTGCCAACGAATGCTGATCTTCTCAGCTTCCCTCAACCTCCTGGGGTCGCATGATCCATGTGAAGTTAACAGCCATGTGGGTTGGGAGGCTGCAGTGGGAAGGGAAAAGAGGGTGAAACAGCTCCCTCCTGCCTCTTCTGTGAGCAAAGCTGTGATCACAGACAAACAAGGGAGAAATTTCATCCCCTTCACCCTCCACATCTGCATGGCTATAACTCCATATAGGACCCAGAACTCTGGCAGTCAACTTCCTTGGGTTCAGAAAGGACTGCTTGGAAAAGGGGAAAGCCAGGAAGATTTGCAGTTCAGGCATAATCCTTTTGCCAGATCCAACCCACACACTTCCTTTTTGTTTCCTTCTCTACTCCTCTGACCTACAGGTCTTGAGTAGTATCAATCAATTCCAACTAGGAATAAAAAGAAGAATTCAACCTAGAGAGGACAGGCTATACCATATTAAAGGAGATGAAGCCCACAGAATATTATGGAAGTAATACCATTATGACTGAAAATTTTGTTTTATCCAGATTTCACAGCAACTATGACTGATCTATTAAAAACAACAAAACTAGGTGACTGATCTTCAGTTTTGGAATCATCATTTCATTTCTTGAGACATGAAAGCTGATTGTACTCATTTGGTTTACATGGCAATTTGTTTAGGGTTCTAAAGCAATCCTACAGCTACTGGCAGAGATGTCAAGCTAAGGAGAACGTCTTCTGGAAAAATATACTGTTCACAGTTTTGTGCTGTTAGATTTTTTTTTTCACTAGACACAGAACAAACTCCTACAGTGACATAGGGCTACTTACTAATTTCCTCCATTACAACAGTGTTATCCATGGCTATGTGCACTGCCAAGGAGCTCCATGTATCAAAAGTGGCAAGTTTTCTACAGGAGAGGGATAGAGGAAAATTAGAAGCAAAAGCACTATGGAAAGGCACAGCTGCAACTACACTACAGATTTAAATCTGATAAGATCTACAGTACAATCCTAAACAGAGTTCAACAGGCTTCGAAGGGTAAACTCAGTTTAGGACCACAGTGTTAGAAAGCCACTTGGCTATGATCACATTGCCCAGAATCTGGCTGCATAGTACAGCATCTCACAGCAAATGCAAGCACTGAAGACTCATCTGTCATTTTTTTAAAGCAAGTAGCATGTGTGCACAATGGACTGGATCCATACTAAGTTTTTAAGAACATAAGAGAAGCCAATGTTGGATCAGGCCAATGGCCCATCCAGTCCAACACTTTGTCACACAGTGGCCAAAAATACCAGGTGATATCAGGAGGTCCATCAGTGGGGCCAGGACTATAGGAGCCCTCACACTATTGCCCCCCCCCCCCAAGCACCAAAAATACAGAGCATCACTTGCACCGGAGTCCCTATCTATACCTTGTGGCTAATAGCCACCGACGGATTTCTGCTCCATATGCTTATCTAATTCCCTCTTGAAGCTGTCCATGCTTGTAGCCGCCACCACTTCAATGATAGAAAATTACCCTTTTCAATAGTAGAAAATTACCCTTTCCACTGCAGCCCACTAATTGTAAGAAATGCTGCTCCTGGGAGAAAGGGGACCCTGACGAATGATGAGGGGGTCTTGGCAAAGAAGGGAAAATACGGAACCTGCCAATTTAGTCTGGATCAAACCCAATATTTGGCTAAGAGGTCAGAAATCAAACATGGACTGGTTGTATTTATACACAAACCCTTCCTCATAGTCCTTCGTCTCCTCCTATACATGCAGCGTTCCTCCATCACTTTTATCTCTTATCCCCTCCATCTATATTCTGACCTGGAATAAATATATATAAATGAGCTGATTTGGAGAAAGGTATTCTGATCTTACAGTATAGAGTTGATGGTTGCAAAATACTCTGTTACCTCAGTAATATAGTTCTCCAGCCTAAAATTTCCATAAACTGAGATGCTTAACAAAATACTGATGAATTGGGCAATGCAATCCTAAACAGGCCTGTTCAAAATCCTACCGAAGGATATACTCAATGGGATTTACTCCCAGAACAGTGTCTTTAGGACTGCACTATCAGGGTCACAGATCGTTCATATTCAGATTTCCCCATCAGGAAGAAGGAAGAGGATACCTCCAGTTTAGACAGTGCCTACAGGATATGGCTATTCCCAAGCTAACAAACTGGCACTGTTATTTGACAGTTCTGAAAACCAACAAGTTGTCCTATTGCAAAATAATTCCTATGCAGATCTATAGGAAGCTCAATAGAGAATGTGCTGTAACATCACACTACCACATTAATAATTCAACATTCAGTTGCTCAGTACCTGTTCACATAAAAGAGTACCCTTATACACTTCACCCTCTAGTTCTAGACAAACTGGGCAATCTGATTTTATATCAGAGAGGCTTAAGATAGTATAGGTAAGATTTCAGGGTCACACCTGCTACTTGATCATCTAGATCTAGGTATATCCTACACAGCCCCATCCTTACTGCAAAGGCCTGAGAACCTTTACTACTCTAATTTCCCAAACAAGAGATGGATTCCCAGAAACAGATCATGAGCAGAAGGCCTAAAACGTATGATTCAATTTCACTTTTTGGAGTTAATCTCATTTGGAAGGCGGATAGGGAAGCTTAACATACAAATCTGATATTTCATGAGGAGAGGAAAAGTGTGATGGAGAAAAGATAATTTTCATTTGCTTTTCAGTAGCGGCTACTAGCAGTTTTTATGGGCAGGAAAAATAAGCCAGAAACTATCAAGCACTTACTTGAGTACTTGTGCAACTGTATTTGGTCCATACCATTGGCCTATAGATTTTCCTTCTCCAACTCCCATCTGGGCTGTAACAAAAGACATATCGTAATTAATCCATAAATTCACTTAAAGTTCCTTCTGAATTTTGCAATCTCTATTCTTTAAGAACAAATGAACAGCGCTTAAGAAGGAGGGGACAAAGATTTTAAATAAAAGAATATTAAAAGAAGTTTTCACTGTGTTTCACTCTAAGTCTGTGTCACATGACACCAAAGAAGACATACTTATTTTTATTGTTACAACAAAAGGAAAACTGAAGATTGAGTTTATTGCAAAGCATTCACCTCTACAGAATAAAATTACTAGTCCTTGACTAACTACATGGGCTCTAGTGTTGTCTACAAGGGCTGTAAATAAAACAGAGAAAAAGGAAGAATAACACTGTTGGGTAAAATGACACTACAGAATTTTATTCTAAAACAGCCTGATAGATTACTGTTCAGTAAAATATGAAATCTGAATCACGGTGTTTCCTCTTCTTTTTCAACATATCAGCCTCCTTTGTTAATTTACAACAGTGACAGATTTACATAAGTACAAGCCTACCATCTGAACAGTCTTCACTTTTACCATATAGGAATGATGTGCTATAAGTAGTATGTTATAAACTAAAGAAACCACCACCCACTAACACTGCAATATCCAAGGGAGACATAGATGAGCCACTTGAAGGAACTTGCTGCATCTTACCTATTTGGTGGATTGAATAATAGCTGTCTTTTTTGTCGATGAAAGCATTAAGAACATTGTAATAGTTATCTGTTTGCTTCTTCCCTTTCATCCACCGCCAATCTGAGACACAAAATATGTTTTAATCAATATTCCAAACACTCTTAAGTTATTTATTTTCTTTGTGTGCCTATAAGTAGCAGGTAATTTTGTGGTTTTGTGAAAACAAAATATTTAACAAGATGAGATGTTGTGATCAAGTGTGGAGATGTTGTGATCAAGTGTGATCAAGATGAGATGTTGTGATCAAGTGTGGAGTACAATCCCAAACTAAGTATGAAGTATAAGTAGGTGTGTCTTTTCTTTTTCATTTTGCAGTCAAGTCACAGGCAACTTACTCGTAATCCTGTAGGGTTTTCAAGGCAAGAGATGTTCAGAGGTGGTTTGCCATTGCCTGCCTCTGCATAGCAACCCTGGAATTCCTTGGTGGTCTTCCATCCAAATACTGACCAGCCAACCCTGCTTAGCTTCTGAAATCTGATGAGATCAGGCTAGTGGGGGCTATTCAGGTCAGGGTGAAATATAAGTTGTCGGTGTTTTTTGCCATCAAGTCACAGATGATTTATGGTGACCCCAGAGGGCTTTCAAGTCAAGAGACTTCAGAGGTGGTGTGCCATTGCCTGCTTCTGTGTCACACCCCAGTATTCCCTGGAGGTCTCCCATCCAAATACTAGCCAGGGCTGACCCTGTTTAGCTTCTGAAATCTAATGAGATCCGGCTTGTCTAGGTTATGCAGGTCAGGGTGAAATACATATACTTTTTTTTTTTTTAAGTCTTCTCTTCCAGTTCTGGCAGCCTAATCAGAAAACACTGGAAGATTAATTGAACTATCTTGCCTTAATTTGGTGTAACGCCTACCTACATTCTCATCACGTCACTATCAATAACAGAATTTCACATGTACATGTGTACATATGAAACTGCCTAATAACGAGTCAGACCACTGATCTATCAAGATCATTACGGTATACACCGAATGGCAGGTATCATTCTCATTACCTACCACCTGACCCTTTTAACAGGAGATGTCAGGACTGAGGTTGGGACCTTCCACATGCAAAGCAGAAGCTCTCCCACTGAACCACAGCCCCATCCCAAATTTCAATTCTATTCTCCCAGGCTCAAAATACAACTTGCACTGTAAGAAATAAGTAAGTGGACACACAGATAAAAGGAATTCTAGCAGTTAATACACAGCCTTGTGAATTGCACCTTTATCTAATTCAAGCCTGAATATATTTTTTGAACAAAGTGGTGCTACCAAAAGACAGCTGGAATATTTTCTAGCGGGTCTGTTTTTATCCATCAGTTCAATTAACAAACTGCCAAAATAATTTTTAAGGAACCTTATGGTATCTTTACACACTATAGCATAGTGGCTTTGAACCCACCAAAAAATTATAATGGTGCAAGGAGGGGGCAATTCTTGCCAAGTGCCACCTTCTAAGGAGACCACCAGTCCTCTGTTCCCCAGGAGCAGCTTTGAGGGAAGACATTTTGAGCTGCGGTGGGAGAGGTGGAATTGGTAAAAATCCCACCCTCCCTTCTTGTATCCACAGTACTTCTAAGCTGGATACAAGCCCATGTCCTTTCCATATCATTATTATTTGCATTTAACTTACCTCTGCCTAAGTGTCTGCACACCAAGGCCTGAGCAAAGATCATTTGGCCACACCTTAACATGCATCCCCAACCAGTGTCAGATGTAGGACCTGTTCCCCCTACAGCCAGAAAAAAAACAAAGACATCAACTTTTTTGTGTGAGTGCCACAAGGCAATGAAGGCATATTCCTGAATATGAGAATGAGTACCTAGAAACCAGACTTTGGCATTAAGTCAACCCTCTGCTCTTCCCACTTCATTATTGCTGCCTGTTCTCCAGCTTAATAGACTGGAGGTAGAAAGAAAAAACAAAGGAAAGCAAAACACTTCTTTAACATAAATACTTGCTGCAGATCACAAATGTCCAGATGTTGGGGAAACAACAGGTCTCTCAGAACCCACAGTTCAGCAATCACAACAAAGCCTGAGCAATCTATTGGCAGACATTCAGTCTAGCAAACTGCAGAGTCTTTCAGACTTGGAAGTATTTCCAACAGAGATCTCACCCATCCTGAGTCACTGGAAATGAGAAAGATGTGGGGTCTGAAACCTTACTGGCTTCAAGTGAGCCAGTAAAATATACACTTTTACATTTAATTACTCTAAAACTTCTCTTCCACTCTTCTATGGTAGATGTCACTTATCTAAAAATGCTCACAAACCTCAGCTTTTCTGAAACCATCACTGTAGCTCCTAGTGCCTATTCTGAAATCTAACTACTGCATTAAATTTGAAGACAAAAGCCAAAATGTTATGTTACATCATGTTTTTAACCTATAGGCAGATATACCTGGAACAAATGAGAAAGACAGAGAAAGTGAGCTGGACTGCACTTAAAGGAACATTTCCTCCCATACTGTCTAACCTGTTCAGATGAGGAAATGCAATGATGCCCTCATTAACAAACAAGAGTCCCTGGCCCTTAGATAAATCACACGTTCTAGTGGGAACCAGGCAATAAAAATCCTTTTACCAGCACAGAGGAAACATTCACTCATTTATGGAAACAAATATGGGTAGAATGGCTAGTAACCATTTGCACGCCTGCCAAGAAGAGGCATGATAGATCACTTTTGATACCTGAGTTAGGCTCATAAAGATCAAGCATGTGCAGCCTGTTATAACTGGGTAAAGGTGAATGGTGGGAAACAGGGGGAACTCAGCCCTCATTTCAGGATTTGTCTAAAGACAGTGGTTCCCAAGTTCAAATTTACCTGGTATGGTGGTAACCCACTTAAAAACAGAGCTTGCACAAATCAATAACATTGCAAAAGCCTGGGACTACTGTTACCATCTTTCATGAGGGACTTGGATTCTCCCAAAGTTACAACTAATCTCCAGACTAGAGATCAGTTCCCCTGGAAAAAAGGCAGCTTCAGAGAATGATCTCTGGGATGTCACATCCCTGCTGAGCTCTCTACCCTCCCCGGGCTCAACCCCCAAATCTCCAGGAATTTCCCAACCCAGAGCTGGCAACCCTACCTGGAACCCACTTGCACAGGCTTCATGACCCACAGGGCTGGGCAACACTGGTCTAACAGAACTCCTGTCAAAGAGCTAAACGGTTTAGCTTGCTCTGGGCAGGCCACACAAGCCAAGAACTGGAACTGAGGAATGGAGAGAAACTGAGTGAAGTCTGCATTGACCATCCTCTGTTTCCAAGTTCCAACTTTTCCTGTGCCCATTCCTCTGAAAGCAATGTTAAAGTGACACCAGGGACTTGTAGAACTTAGCTAGTGTCATATTTTTATTGTGCTACTGGTCTCACATCATTTTCATGTGCATCTAGGCAACAGAGATTATTTTTTTTTGGCCCCCCAAAGGGGATTTTTTAATTTGCTTTTCTATAAAACTACAACAGAAATTGGGAAGGGAAAAATTTACATCTAAATGAGAAAGTAAAAAGAACCTAACTAAAAACCCAAGTCTGGAGGTTTTACAATGCTTAAAACATAGTCATTACACTTATTCAAATACTTTCAAACATGAAGAGTGCACGCCAATCATCACTTCTGTTGACAAAACCAGCTTATCAGACTAGGCAGAAAGTAATTCCAAAACTATAACACACATAGAACACAGCCCTTAAGAAAAATTGGCATCTCCTTTTATGCTTTGCTCCCCCCCCCCCCCCCGAAAAAATCTTAACCGGCAAAATCTTTAAAACCAATATTCCCTCAGTAAGAACATTTCAACAATTTATCTTCTTCCGTCTTAGATGTATCTTCTTTTTCTTCTTCTTCCTCCAATTAGCTTTTATAAGTCCGGATCTGTCCATTCATGATATAAACCAAGTTCCTTTTTCCAGGGATATCTTCGCTTCCTTAAACGTCTTAAATCCAAAGAGACCTTCCTTTTGTTGCATTAAAAACACGTTCATTGAAGAATCCAACCTTTCTCCTAGCAAGCCGATCTTATCAAGCTGGGGTAGCGAGCCCTTTACTCCCAAAAAACGCTTTTCGATCCGTTTGCCAATCCAACCACAAATGAACTAAACTTTAGAACTTTTAAACTTTATGAATTAACTAAACCATTAATAAGTCTCTATGATCAAAGTGCGCACCAAATACTGTTCCTTTAAAAATATAGCCGCTTTTAGTACAGATCCAGGTCGCTACTCCATTTTAGCCACCAGAGGGCCCACGAATCACTTTAAAGCCAGAGTCTATGGTTAGGTCACATGACCTAGCTTTCTACTGTTCTCCTTCCTGAAGAAAACATTGGTCACGCCTCCCTCTTCGCCTCTCGTCGCCATCTTTCGGGGATGTTTACATTTGCTGAGAAAGAATGGCAAAGTCTCCAAGGTCTATTTAAACGCTCAGCTTTCTTTCAGAAAAACGCTCTGCTACAGTCCATCACCACAATTTGATCAGTCCCTCCAATCATGCTTTCACATTCGCTTAAAACGTCAGGAGATAGGGCATCCCCTCCCCCCCTCCGTTTATCGTAGGAGGACTTCACAACTAGGCTTTGATGTCTCGTTTCAACGAAAACTCAGTCCTCGAATCGATCCACCAGGCCCTAAGACGGCCCCTGGGATCACGCCAGGCAGAGAAAATCGCTAAACCTCCAAACGCTTGTCCTGGTCGTCGCTTCTAATCTAATACTGGGAATCAGGGCAGAACCTTCGGGGCAGAGAGTAGCACCCCTGTACCGGCTGACGGCCGGAGGTAGGGCTCTCCAAAGCCCCCTGGCTAGGAGCCCATTGCCTATGGGCTCCATGGGAGAGCGTGCACAATCACGCTCCCTCCTAATCCCCGATTCATGGCAGCCATCGTTGATGCGCTGAAGACCGGAAGTCCTAGGCAACAGAGATTTATGTTAGTCGAGTAAATATCTTTTTTTTCTTTTTAAAGACCTCAGACTGTGACCAAAGTTCCTACCCAAGTGCCTAGCTGCTTATCTGCACATAGACCAAATCACCTGACCAGGCTAGTAAGTTAGCAGGCAGGGGAGAGGGGAGTATGAAGACTTTTATGCAAATACATAGGCAGCCTCCTGGTAGTGACTCAAACTGAGGACAGGTAGGGAAGGGTAGATAAGTTTGAATGGTGGCAGAATTTATACCCAAAGGAGAGGAAGTAGGAGGGGCTAGTGGGTTTAAGTCCTCTCTCTCACGCACACACATTCGCACAGCCCCGTAAGGTACTCACAGGTGAGGGGAGAGGGGAGAAGGTGGTGGGTCAGGTTGTTCATTGTGCCGTCTTCTGTGCAGGCACACATCAGGACTGCGCAATCGTAGGCCAGCCACGGAAAAGAGCTACCAAGCTTTTAAAAGAAGTTTCAAGGGCCTAAGAGTGCTCCCCCTCCCCTCTGTCTTCAGCATTGCCTTCCCCACCAAAGGGTCACATGACGGAGGGTTCTCCCTTCGCCACCATAAGGAACCAGTGTCAATAGAGCAGCCCACAGTTGGGAAAGGAGGGAAGATTAAGAAGAGATTGAATTTATACCCCACCCTTCACTCGGAGTCTCAGAGCAGCTTACAATCTCCTTCCCTTCCTCTCCCCACAACAGATACCCTGTGAGGTAAGTGGGGCTGAGAGAGCTCTGAGAGAACTGCTCTTGAGAGAACAGTTTTCAGAGAACTTTGTCTGACCCAAGGTCACGCAGGTGGGTGCATATGGAGGAGTGGGGAATCAAACCCGGTTCTCCAGATTAGAGTCCACCACTCTTAACCACTACACCAAGCTCGAAAGGATGTGTGCCTGCACAGAAGACTACTCGATGAACAACGGTTACAGGTAAGTGCAACCCCATTTTCATCTTTGTGGCTTCTGTGCAGTCCCACATGAGAGAATAGTAAGTTCACTTACCAAGGAGGCGGGTGCAGGCTGATCAGTGGAAGAGTGACTGTAAGACACACACACACACACACACACAACCTTTATTGGCATTGAAAGCACAAGACATCATTGGAAATAGTCTGTAAGACTGCTTTTCTCACAGCTGCCTCATTCCAGGAATCCACTTCCATGGAGTAATACTGAACAAACATCAAGGGCATCAACCAGGTGGCTGCCTTGCAGACATCGTCTAGGGATAACTTGGATAGAAATGCTGCTGACAAAGTTTGAGCCCTTGTGAAGTAAGCTATCAAGGCAATGGGACAAGGAATGCCTGCTTTAGTATATGCTGTTCTAATTGTGGACACGATCCATCTAGATAATGACTATGCGTATGCTGGCCTTCCTTTTATCGAGGTCCCTGAAACGAATAAGTTCCTATCCCTCCTAAAATCCTCTGTTCTTTATTAATAAAAAAGAAGTGCCCTTCTAACATCTAGTTTGTGCAAAGTTCTTTCCGATATAGAGGCTGGGGATGGGAAAAACACATGGAGGGTGATGTCTTGTCCCAGATGAAAATGAGAAACCACTTTTGGTAGGAAATCCAGGCTGGGCCTGAGTACAACCTTGGCTGTGTGGAATTTTGTGAAAGGTGGGTCACACTTTAAAGCATGCAATTCTCCTACCCTGTTGGTAGAGGTGATTGCTACCAGGAAGACCATTTTATATGACAGAAATGACAAATCAGACTTTGCTATTGGTTCAAAGGGTTTATACATTAACTTAGCCAAAACTCCACTGGGAATAAACTCCACTGAGAAATCAGGTGTACAACA